CCTCCGTACCGTGTCGGGCGCGCTGGTGTCCTTGAACCGCCCTGCCTTGTGTCCCCGACACCAGCGCCGCCCTCTCCCTAGGCGCCGCCCTTGCCACCGCCGCCCTCGCCAAGGTGGCGCGCGCCGCCGGCCTCATCGCCGCCACCCTCGCCACCGCCGCCCTGGCAACCGCCGCCGCCGCCGCCCTCTCCCTATCCACCACCCTCGCCACCGCCTCCATCGCCTTCTCCGCCGCCGCCCTCACCCCGGCCACCAGCGCCGCCACGCGTAGGCTCTCGCCTCGATCGATTCACTCGTCACGCACACGTCGCCGGCGGCGGTGCTGCACGACGCGCCGCAGCTCACCTCCGCGCTCCGCTCCGTGATCGCGTCCAAGCAGTGGGGGAACGAGGAGCTCTTCGCGGCGAAGATCGCCGAGGCGTGCACCATCGCCATGCCCGCGGACCCGACCAAGTTCAACCCGGACAACATCCGCGTCGCCAAGATCCTGGGCTCGTCGGTGCCGCTGCCGTCGAGATGCCCAGAGCCACCCTCGAGCCTCCTGCCTCCCCGCACTGCGCGAGACAGCAGACAGCCCAGCCAGCAGCACCAGCAGCGTCGCAAGCATGGCGGCGGGTTCGCCGGTTGACGACGCATCGCAACCCTAGAAGGGCCGCTCACGGTCTGCAGACGGGAGGGAGGGGCTGCCCCCGTCGGGTTGGCAGATCCCCAACTAGGGATGGCACACGCACCAGGCGGTCTTCAGCGAGTCTGTGCTCATTGCACCCGCGCCGCTCTCACTCCGGCGATGCCCTCGCTGCGCCGCACTGTGCCAGAGCTCCCCCCCCCCCCCCCAAACTCCACCCTGACCCTAACCCTGACCCAACTGCACCCAAACAGGTGCTGGGCACCACGGTCGTGCGCGGGATGTGCCTCCCCCGCTCCGCGCTCGGCACCATCAAGGTCCCCCACAGACACAGAGAGATTTATAATGCTTTCTATAAATCTGCACTCACAGGGACTTGGGTTCGGTAGGTATGTCAACTAGGCGGAGCCTGAGTCAGAACCCTAGCCGAGAAAGTTCTCTAGGGTGTCGAAAAGTTCTTCTCCTCTTCACGCGAGTGCGCACCCACCGCGGTGCCGCTGGTAAAACTGGCCGTTAAATCGCTACAGCTCTCGCGGGTCTACCGACCGATGCGTACCCGTCCCGCCCGCCGGACGATGCGACAGCCACGACGCGGTTCTATGATCTATTAACTCACACCGAACGAGAAGGAGCGTAGATCGTCTCTCTTCGGCGCGCTTGAGCACGTTTGGCACCAAGAGGCTTTGATTCTTACGACCCTCACGCTTCCACCAAGGCAGGTGTGCTAAGCACTCCGCTAGTACTTGTGTGTGCTCAC